GTGAAGCCAAGGGCCAGACCTACGCCAACGGGCTGTGATCTGCCAGCCGGTGGCCCCTGGCACATGGCACTGTAAAGGAGCAGAGCCATGCAGAGGACTTGTTCAGCACCACTGGCAGCCTGCATTGGAGCCGCTGCTGCATCATGTGGCTCTCTGGGAGACTCATGCTGTGGCTGTGATCCCACAGATTTTCCATCACGTGGCATGCAGAGCCCTGCAGGGGAAGAAAGCTGAGACTAGAGGGTTGCCCCCCTTGGTGTATTGGTAGTTTGTTAAAAATGAGCCTCTTGTGTCTTACAGGAAGGGACTGGAGCTTCATTCAGCAAATGGAGGTTACAGCAGAGCAGTGGAAGAAGGGCTCAGGTGTGCCCTCCCCTTTTTCCTCTTCCTTCCCCACAACCAACTGAAAACTCAGTTTCTTTTGGGCAATAAAACCCTCCCTTTCTGCACAGACACTGCTCTTTTCTCCTCTGGGGCAGGTAAGAGGCAGCTATCTGCCCAAGATAGGTTGGTTTCTTTTCTACCCCAAAAGTAAGAATAAATACAAGAACTACCTCTCTTCCCCAAGTGAGCGGGTGAAGTTGAGAAGCTGCGGACAAAAACTGGCTTTTCTATATTGTGTGGCATCCTGAAGTGACACGATAGCTGGAAGTATGAGAGCAGTGATGGTGTATCCATGTGATCAGTCACGCATAGTCATGCACACACCATTGCATTATTGTGAATGGCATCTGCATACGCAGCAAGGACAAGGCAATTCCACAGCCCAAATAAGGGCGGAGGACCATTACTATTTTACCCGAGTGTCTGGAAATTAGGACGTGGCAGAAGCCACGCTGATGATGTACACTTCATTCAGCCCCTCTCCCAGCCTCCCGAAGCTTGGGCCTGTGATGTGCTAGTGGGGGCAGGGGCAGCTCTGTTCCCCCCGAGATGCCATGCAGGCACTCGATGGGTTTCTCGCCAAGCTGAAACTTTCAGGCTGTGTGTGCAAACGGGTGCTGGTTCAGATGGGGGAGAGCCGACAGCAGTTGTAGCTGTTCCCCTCCCCAGGATAGGCACTGGAGGAGTGAGACACAGACTTAATTGGAGAGGGTCTGGGGGCGTTCGGGGATGCTTGCAGACATTACAGTGATGAGGTGGGGGTCCTGGGCCAGCGCACGCCTCTTCTGCTCATTCCCTAGCTTCACCCTTGTGGTGGGTTGACCTTGGCTAGACGCGAGGTGCCCACCAAGCCACTCTATCACTCCCCCTCCTCAACTGGACAGGGGAGAGAAAAATATAACAAAAGGCTTGTGGGTCGAGATAAGGACAGGGAGGGATCACTCACCAATTACTGTCACGGGCAAAACAGACTCAACTTGGGGAAATTAATTTAATTTCTTGCCAATCAAAATCAGATTAGGATAATGAGAAATAAAAACAAATCTTAAAACACATTCCCCCCCGCCACTCCCCATCCCCCTTCTTCCCAGGCTCAAGCTTCACTCCCGAATTCTCTACCTCCTCCCCCCAGCGGCACAGGGGGATGGGGAATGGGGGTTGCGGTCAGTTCATCACACGTTGTCTCTGCCACTCCTTCCTCCTCTGGGGAGGACTCCTCACACTCTTCCCCTGCTCCAGCATGGGGTCCCTCCCACGGGAGACAGTCCTCCATGAACTTCTTTAATGTGGGTCCTTTCCATGGGGTGCAGTCCTTCAGGAACAGACTGCTCCAGTGTGGGTCCCCACGGGGTCGCAAGCCCTGCCAGCAAACCTGCTCCAGCCTGGGCTCCTCTCTCTCCACAGGTCCTACCAGGAGCCTGCTCCAGCATGGGCTTCCCATGGGGTCACAGCCTCCTTTAGGCATCCACCTGCTCCGGCGTGGGGTCCTCCAACGGGCTGCAGGTGGATATCTGCTCCACCCTTAACCTCCATGGGCTGCAGGGGGACAGTCTGCATCACCAGCTCCTGCTGTTGCACAGCAGTTTTTTCCCCCTTCTTAAATATGTTATCCCAGAGGTGCTAGCACCATTGCTGATGAGCTCAGCCTTGGCCAGTGGCGAGTCCATCATGGAGCCGGCTGGCATTGGCTGTATCGGACATAGGGGAAGCTTCTAGCAGCTTCTCACAGAAGGCACCCCTGTAGCAGTCGTCTGCCCGTCTGCCGCCCCCCCCCCATGCAAACCCAATACAACTCTGAATGCCCTTGTCCCAGGCTGTACTCCTCTGTCCATCCACCCCAAATTCAGGTTGTTTCCAAAGGACTTGTGTCCTAAGTTCCCAGCCTCTTTTTCCTACCCCCTTCTCATCTGACCGACCTCTCTGCTCCTCTGGTATCTCCTTGGCTTTCCTCTGGGGATCTTCATTGCCTCTTCTCACTTCTTGCATGATGCTGTCCCTGTTTCCTTGCCAAGCTGTTTTCAGTTACCCCACGCACTTTTAGGTCTGTGCTGGACATGCTCCTTTTGTCCAGTCCTATCCTCTCCTCTGGAGAGCAGCCGGCACTCCCACAGTCACTGCTTTGCATTAACCCCGGGTTCTGAGATCCTCAGTGCAGCTGTAGTACTAAGGTTTTGTGGAACATCAAGTATATTGTGTATTTTTATTTTGCATTTTTATAGTACCTTTGTGATTTGCAGGTTTTCTCTGCTGTTTTGTCCAAGCTGCTGGACAGAGGAGGATGTATATTTTTTGATTCAGTGATAGACTCGTGGTGTTAGCTCTTCAAACTATCCCTTAGATTTTTTAAAATCATTTTTGCCAAGGGCAAGTTGAGATTTTCCTGTGTATAGAGCATTGTCATGTCCTAGTGAGAACCCCAGGCATGATGCTGATTTCCTTGAGTGTCTGATGTACAAGCTGAAGAGTGGGGCTCCGGAACATGCAAAGGCATTGGAGCATGCACCACGTTACCCAGTTGGTATTGCAGGCTGTTGAGTTCACAGGTGGCTTCCTAGCAAAACCCAGATTTGCTCTGGCAAACGCAGCACAGCGTGTGACACAGCTAGAGGTGTGCTTCTAGTGCTTGGCTCCTACGCTGCTGCTGAAGTGCATGTGTCCGTGACGTTTCCCCCCAGCAATTATTCTTTATTTGGGGGAGTAAACTCTTTTGTAGGCTGTACATCTGATAGTGTGGATTTTCTCCTCCACATCTGCACTGCACTGTGGGGTCACTTTTAAAACCCTTGGCTTTCTCCATGGGGAATATGTGACAAATACCCTTTGCACATTAAATTCCTATTCAGATATTTCGTGGCATCACTGAATTGCCTTTCTGTCAACAGCGAGCAGTTAGTTTGACCTGCTAGGTCAAAGCATGTGCTTTTAGTGAGGGTCCCCAACCATGCCAGGACAGATTCACAATTAAATTGTCATCAGTTGACCAGCAAGCACTGATAAGCTTAAAATTGGAGGAGGAGGAATGTTGGCTTCCTGCAAGCAAGGTGCCAGTTTTATTACCCTCAGCGTTTATCGCCCTTCCTAATTAAAATCCCAAACAATCCCCGCCACCGCCTGTGTCTGTAAACCTCCCATAAGTGTGCTGTAAGGTGACTCGGTGTGACTGGGAACATGCAGAAGGCAGGTGGTGCAGGCTGTTTGCACCAAGCACAAATGACACTGTGGGTTCCGCAGTTGTTTTCCTTCTCTGATTATTTATTTACAGTTTTAGAATGACCTTGGGTGGGGAATGACTGCTTACTCAACCCCATGTCCTCGCTTGCACCTCCACGCAGAGACTCTCTTTGGAAGGTCTATAAGATTGTAGACCTGGTTTACGCTCTCAGTCACGTGAGATGAGTTACAAAAAGGCTTGTGTTCCCGTAGTGCGATGGGGCAGAATAAACTGATGCTCTTGGCCACCCTTCCCATAGGGGGAGAGAGTGGGCTGCAGCATTTGGCTTGCAATAGCATTGTGTACTTGTGTCCAAAATACAAATTGTGCGAGCTCCCTGCCTGAATGTTTGACAAATTAAGTCCTACCCTGCTGCATGGGCCTGACTGCATTTGATGAATTGGAGTCAATGCTGGCAAAACGTAATTGCTCTTAATCATGACAAATCAGGTGCAGTGTTCATACTGTGAACTACAAAGCTTTTGTCCACTACTGCTTATCCAGCTGCTGAAAAAGCTCTCCTGTTAAAGTGCATGAAGCTCAGAAACAGCCTTCAGGATCTGGTTGTTCACGTTTTGTTGAGGGCACTGAAAAAAATTTGGTCTGTTTGAAAACCTTGCTTCTGTTCCCCAGAGTTTTTCCTGATGTGGGGGAGCAGGAGCTGGACTGCAGGACAGGGGATGGCTCAGCAGTACAGCAAGATGAAAGCAAGGATGGCTATTAAAAGGAAGTCTAAGCATTGCTCTTGATCTGTGTCCTTGATAAAAATCCCTGGTGATGTTCATCCGTCCAGTAACAGCGGCAGGCATGTCGTTTCCCCTCTTTCTGTATTACTGGACAATCCGTCCTTCTGTTTTTTTTGGTTTGGCATTTTCTGCAATAAGAAATGGTTTCTTGTATCTATCAGAAGTGTTTGTTTCAGCAGATGCTTAAAAAGCGTGCATGTATGAGAGAGCAGTCTACGTGTTACTTCACCTTGCGTGAGCACAAAGTTGCACGCACAAGAAGTAACTGTTGGGATGAATTGCCTTTGTTTTCCATGCACTGTATTACTTTTGGTCAGTGCTGTCAGCATGTGGCAGTCATGTTTACAGAGCGCCGCTGAGTCAAATATCCTAGCTGGATATTTTAGAATGTTGGATACCTTCATAGCCGCAGGCATTTGGAGCTGTAATTGCTGAGATAAGAGTGCTGCAGTTTCTGGGGTAGAAAATTTGATCCTTCCTTCCAAGTACAGTGCTGCACGTCTTGGCTAGGCACGCTGTCTGCCCTCGTCGAGGGGAGTCCCAACTCACTGTTGAGTATAAACCCTCCCTGAAGTTGGTGGGATCCTTTGGCACAGCAGGCCTAATCACAAGCCAAGTTCTTCTCAGTAAATATTCTTCCCTTCTTTTTTGTCTTTTAGTGTCAAGATGGTGCTGATGTGGACCAGTGGAGACACATTCAAGACTGTTTACTTCATCTTGAATCAGGCCCCTTTCCAGTTCTCCATCTGTGGACTCCTGCAGGTTTTTGTGGACATTGCCATCCTGTTGCAGGTTTACTTGTACAGTTACTACCCTCAGAAGCCTGTGTCCCACACTGCACACCCAGCCAGCACCAAGGCCCTGTGAGGCACTTAGCTGGGCAGGTTGCAGGTCAACGGCGCTACGGAGTCAGCCATGGCAGCTCCTCTTCTGCTTGTAAATACTCCTGTGTTGCTGAGTTGAAAGCAGAAATGAGAACAAGGATTGAAAACTTGGCTGCGCTTCCAGCTCGGGAGGTTTTATTTTAAATAACTTGCTCTCTCTGTTTTCAGACTTAGCTGTACAGAACTGTTTCTTGGTGGGGGGGGAGGGGCACTTTATTTTTGCATATGTACCTATAAGCCTTATCAATTCACAATGTTTGTATATTTAATCACAAGGGCTGGATGGTTTGTGTTTTTAATGCTATTTAAAAATGTTACACCACAGAAATTATAGGATATTTTGTCTGAAACTTTTACCTATTTATATAATATAAAATCTGTATATTGGCAGGAAGTTTGTGGCATATGCTAGCATTCAGTATCTCCATGATGTAGGAAGAAGTATCGAAGAGCAAATGCAGGAGCTTTTTCTTTTCTTTAAGAAGGGTGTCTGGTGAGCAGAGGAGGTGAGGGCGGGAAGCCCTGCAAAGAGGTGAGCAGCCAGAAATGAACCAGCCACACACAGTGTAAAGCATCAATGTGCTAAGGAGTGAATGGCAGGTGTTCACCCCCGCTGCGGGATCAGTGTGGCAGGCGGACACATCAAGGAGATGGTGAAGGGGGTCTGAGCATGGATGATGCTGGAGCCATGGTTAGCGTAGGCACAGCCAGTCAAGCGGTCAGCCAAAAGGAGGAGCGAACAGGAGACTGCAGGTAACTTAGATAGTCATGCTTTGAAACGATGGGGTTTGGGAACAGCCCGCCCTGCGCTCAGGGGGCAGCACTGCACTTGCAGCTGTGCACAGGACAGAGCTGGACTGTAGGACGTCTTTCACAAACCAAGGGGCCAGCAGATGCATGTTGCCAGTATTGCCAGGCAAGTATTTCTAGATGGCGATTGAGCCACAAAGGTAGAAGCAACTCCTCTTCCATTGCCTCGGAAGGGGAAGTGAAAAAGTTTGAGGCAGAGGAAAAGCCGTATGCTATGGAGTAGGACTAACATCTGACAGCTTGGTTTGTTGAGGCTGAGATTCATGTTCATGTTGTTTAATGCCAAGCAAGAACCAGTTTCTGGTTTGGGGTCTTTCTTACATTGACTCAACAAGGAAGGAGTCCACGTTTTCCTTTTTCTGTTGCTTAAGATCTTCTAGGCTCTTAGAAGAATCAGCAGCCTGTACTTAGACAGAGGGACTGAGAAAGCCGAAGGAGAGGAGAGTTTATTTATAGATGTAGATGTTGTCTGTAATGGCTGTTTGCCAGCGTAGGTCACTGTGCCCCTTCTGAGAACTGCACATGTCTAGCAGCTGCAGGTGGTGTGGACCCACAGGGGGCTATGACCAAGCCCCTGGGCTTCTGCCAGCTGCTGTCATCAAACTGCCCTGGGCGGTCTGAGGCAGCCATAGCAAGACGCTTAGCCCCAGGAACAGCTACGCCTGCGCTGCTTGCTTCTTCATGAGGCTCCCTCCCTGCTGCTGGGTGAATCCCATCTGACCACAGGCAAGATGTTAGAGCTCGGACAGATTTTTGAGAATCATTTTTTCTCCAAGATGAGCCCAAGAGCTTATGTTTGTTTCTTACCAACAGCAGCGAGTTTGAGGTTTAATAACTTCAGTGTGTAAATCAGATACTTGCTGTACCCTGTTTTATTTGGGAACCTCGTGATTTGAGTCTGGACTGTCTTCACTGGTGGCAAACTGTCCTCTGGAGGGGAAGCATTGGCAGGCTGCAGCAGTGGTTGTGTGACGCTCGGTTGGGAATGTCCGTCATAAGACAGGGAAAAGTGGGCTGTCCCTGTGCTGCTTTACAGACCTGTGCCCCTCTCACTGCCCAGGCAGCCCCAGGCTGACATTGGGGTTCCTGCTGCACGTGCCGCTTGGTTTTGGAGCCGACATGTTGGTGGCAGAGGGCTGAGGCCCAAACCTGCGGGCAGAAGTCCTGCCCTGGTGCCAAGCCGTCCTGCCCTTTGGTGGGGGCACTGCTGGAGATGGAAGGAAGGGCATCCTCGGGAAGTCCCTCCGGCCCCGGCAGATCCGGTTGGATCCGTGTGAGTAAAGCAGAGCTGAGGACAGCTGCTGTTTCTGAGGGCTGGGCACAGAATGCTCTGCGCAGGCACTGACTCCACGCTCTTCGTTCGATACCGTACTCTTTTAGGCCTGAAGTGACCTTACAAAGATGATGTACGCGGCATGGTAGTCTATGAATGTTTTGTTCCTCTCTTTTCTCTAATGTTCACGTTGTGTTACAGGAACATCTGGGCTTTTGTCTTTTTTAATTGAAAACTTACTTACTTAACAACTGGCTTCTCTGGTATGCTGCTTTAATGAGGATTGTATTTCTACTGTATGCAAACGAACACTTTCTTGTGTGTTTTAATGGTCTGAAGGTTTTTTTTTTTTAACTACTTGTAATGATAAGATTTTTGTATGTGGTGGTCTTTTTCTAATATTCAATGAAACAGGGATATAAGAAATAAATGGCTCTTAAGAAACATACTTCTCTATGTTATAGCTTCACCTGGGAGTGCACATTTTTGACCACCTCTTTGGCTTTGAACTACAGGTATTACTGAGGATAAAACAACTGTCGTTTTTTCCTTTTGGGACTCTTCCTTGAGCAGGTTCCTGAGTCTGTCATCAGTACCCAAACCAGCGAGCTCTGCAGACCAGTCTCATTCACACCAGAGCTGCAAATGCTAGAAGAGAAGCCAGTGAAACCATGTCTAAAGTCATCTTCTGTGTGTGGCATTTAGCAAGGCAGGACTCTTGGCCAGAAACTCTTGAACTTCATCTTGCAAGATACCTTAGGGACAAAATGTTACGGAACTTTGTTTTTGTTCTTTAATTGTCAGGAAGTATCTGTATCAATGATCACCTCAGAGAATAACAAATCAATTACTTCAAATACATCTCTTTGAATGTATGGCACATTTCATGGAGTTGATTTTCTTTGTCAGTTGCAATATTTTTTTTAAATAAAAATTACCTGTTATATATAAATTGCAGTGTTGCTTTGTTTTGTTCAGATACAAGATGTGTGCTTCTTAACTCCTATTATAACTCATCTTGTTGTCTAGAGCACTGTCTGTAGGAATAATTAGCGTGCTTTATCCTCCTGATGGGTGGGTAAGCACAAGGCATAAATTGTCCTGAGGTCATGATGCACGACGGGGATTCTGGATTTCTGTCCTCTGCTCTTCCATACATCCTGAGGTAAACTTACGCTCATGAACTCTTTTATGCTTGTGATGCTCACAGTAAAAACAAATTACTAGCAGATTATTATGTGGCTTTAAAAAAAACCCATATCATGCAAACTGCCTAATGAGGTCAAAGATGGGACACAGCTGAGGGACATGCTCTGTGCAGCCTCTGCACAGAAGATGAGGAAACTGAGCGTGTCATCTCATGGCCAGCCGTTGTGCCAAGAGGAGTCGTGACCTCCCTCCCTGTTGATGCAGGACATGAAAACAAGCCCGGACAGTCACGACCAGCCTTGCAGCCCACATGTGGCTCCGGGGCCCTGCTGGGCTGCTGCTGCAGGCTGTTCAGCTGCTCCGGCCTGGGGAGAGGGTTTGCTGTTGCTGCATGCGGTGGCTGCGGAAGCTGGAGAAGGGGAGTCGGTGAGGAGAGGGGGTTGGGGGCACAGGAGGGAGGGCTGGGGAGGGCAGGAGGAGAGAGGTGGGAGAGACTCAGCTTGCTCAAATAAGGGGATGAAGGGAGAGACTCCTGGAGGGGAATGAATGAAGGAAAACCAAGACCTGGAAGGGCAAAGGTAGGTAAATCAGTGAAGCGGGGGCAAATGAGCAGGAAAAGGAGGGTGGGGAGTAAAACCGGCCTGCTCCATTACAGCCTGCGGTCAGTGGAGACCACGGAGGCCAACAGCCCAAGCAGCTCCCACAACAGCCGAGCCTGCTCGTTACTCGTAGGGCTTGCACCACCTGTCCCAAATAGTACTGATGTTACTGGTTGCTGCTCTGGCACTCGCTGAGGGGAAGCTAATGGTGGGACTGGCCCTAAATGAAACACTGGGGAGCCCCTTCAGTAAACGGGAGCTCTCGCAGCCACCTCTGGGCACGGCGGCAGCCAGGGCAGCAGCAGGGCCTGTGTCCTGCTGGCTGGTGCGGCACGGGCCCTGGCCTCAGGGCAAAGCTCTCCCTCGGCCGCGCAGGGCCAGCAGCGCTCTGCGCCGCGGCTCTGTAGAGACGCAGATCTCATCGTTAGGTGTCTGGGTACATGTGTCTACATATGTAGTTAGATGCCATTAAAAACATTTTAAAACAAAAGGCAAAGCTCAAATTCAGCACTGAGTAGTAAAGCAAAAGTTGGCCCACAGATGCTGTTTGTTAAATTTGGTTGTGATCCTTAGCTTAGGCTTGAGTGCCAAGAAGGCTTCAAGGACCTGACTGACAGCTGTAGCTTTGTTGGTGGCTTTCTCTAACAGAAAGAAGACATGAATGTGTAAGTAAGTCAACAATATGCCAATAAATAAACGCACTGCCTGGATACCTGTGCCAACAGCAGTAAAGAAGAAACATGGACTAGAGCAAAATGTGAGGCACACCCTGGAGCAGATCTCCCTGTAAACAGCTTTGTAAAACAGCCAGGTCCCAAATGGACATCAGCATCTGGAAATGCCCTGACAGCAAATACAGACTTAGGACTTATCCTGCCCCTTCTGTGTCACAGTTTATGTGGATTTGGCTCTTGTAGGTGCTAGCGTAGCCGTACTGGGAGACAGAGGGGCTTTGCTGAGCCTCAGATGGGCCAGCAGAACCACGCTGGATTTCTCTACCCATCAAGCCCCTCCATCCGCCTCTTTCCTCTGCCACCTCTTTCCTCTGCCGCCCCAAGGCTTCATACTCTTCTGAGGCTGTAGCTTGTAGGTGCCAAGCCCTGCGAGAGCCAAGGATACTTTGCCCCCATGAAGCATTTGCTGTGAGGCTGC